TGGAATCTTAATAAATGACTCATGCTGTCATAATCTGATCCTGACATCAACTCCCAGGGCTGGAGTTCTTCAGCTCTGGAGAGGGGGAAGGGGAGGCTGCAAAGACTGGGATGGAAATGGGCAGGTAAAATCCATTCACACAAAAGATTTTGGTAATTTTTGCTATTGTCAGCTCCTTTGCAGACCCAGAACAAATGAGACTCAGCAGAGGAATTGTGCAGCACCAGAAGAAAAGATGAATTTCCCTTTACCTGGTGCTGTGGGTTGTTTTGTAAAGGATGTGTGGTTTCCTTCCAAATCCAAAAGAGGATTTTAGTGGGAAGAAAGAACCAGATGAGAGATTTACCAGCACAAAACAGGGGTGATCACTGAGAGTATTGAGGGAGAGATTCGCTCTTCTCTCCTCGTCTTGGCTCTGCCACAAACTCTTTTGGGAAAATCCTTTAACTCCATTCATTTTGAGGTTATAAAAACTTCCCCTCTCCATAGACATATGCTGAAAATTACATTTATTAATTATTTTAATCTTCTATAAATTTTAAACAGGAGTGTTAATTATTAGTTTCCTCTCTGGCAGCACATTGCAAACCTCAGCTTGACACAGGGAACTTCTTTTTCCAGGCTTTGAATGACAGCACTGTTAGAAGTGCCCCAGAAGTTGGAAAATTCAGCGATGCTGAGCAAATTGAGGGGAAAGAGATGGCAAAGGATCAGCTCTGGAGTTACAAATGTGCTGTGTGGGTCATTTTTTTATTCCCTCTTGTTGATTTGGCCGCTGTTGAGGGAAAGTTGAGATTTTCTCCAAGTGCTCAGTGAAGCCCTGTGGATTCTGCTACAGGAATAAATGCTAATTTCCCTGCTGCAGCCCAGCTGCAGGGCCAGTAAGGAACTACTTACCATGTTCTGTGTTCAGGAGAAAATCACAGCCTGTGGCCACAGTTCTTGGTGAATTTTAGAGCAACTGGCAACTTATTAGTCGTGGGTTTAAAAACCAGCTCCTGCTCTGGTTTTTAAAGTGAATAATTTCACTTTTTCTTCCTGATGGTTTTTTTCCTTCTTTTTTTTTTTTTTTTTTGCACACGTTGGTGTTGCTGGATACTTGAATTTTTCAGGCATTTTGCTCTCTTGCAAGGTTAATGACAGGGATATAAAACTGATGGGGAGGGGAAGGGATTGGATCTCTAATGGAGTAAATCTGAATTTTTCCAACCTGGGTGAAACTATTTGATTGCTTAATCACTTTCCTTAAAAGTGATCTAGGTGATTTTCCTTCCTGGTTTTTGCACCCCTAATTTCAGCTTTGCTTTTACAGCAGGAGAATGGGTGCAAGGAAGAGTTGCAGTATCCATCTAAAGATAGCTGCTAAATGCTCAAAGAGGAACAAATAAAATGACCAAAACCTTTCAGAACGTGGGGTGGGTTTTTTGTCTTTCGCAATCCAGGATCTTACAAATTAAATACAGTTAAAAAAAGCAACCACAAAACAAACCCAACAGAAAAACCCCAACAACAACAAACCCCAAACAAGCAGAAAAAAAAACCCAATCAGGCCTGGAAATCAAATTCAGGTTGTGCAATATTCTCCTGTTTAGTTCAGACAGATTGTTTAAAAATAAATCTTCAATGTTGCTGTCATTTTTTTCCCACTCCTCCCTGGTTTTGCCATTAAAGCCTCGCTGTTGCCCTTTGCTCTTTGAGCAGCTTTTGGCCTTGGAGAGGCAGCTTGGTGTGGTAAATTTCCCTAGGAAATGGTTTTTAAGGATGGATCCATCCTAAAGGTGCTCAGCCTGAGGGGGTGTTGGTTCTCAAGGACTCCATGCAGTGCAGGAATACTTGGATGACAAAGCACAAACGTGTTGGTTTTGTGGGAAATGTAGGACTCTTGTATAACTGTTTAAAATGATTAAGTAGAAGCTGTTTATTGTTTGTATTACACATATATTTATAGATTTTACAGTTGACTAAGTGCACACTTGTTGATCGGTGTCTCTGTCGTGTTCACTCATTTGCTGTTTGTATTTCTTGGAGTGGATGATTGGTTATAGTCCAGGTGTTTCAGTCTTCTCTTATCTGGTTTTTGTGGTCTTGGTATTTGGTTTCTCAGCCTCTTCTTTCTTAATTTAGTACAATTGTTGTTCTAATAGCTTTGACAAATTGCTGGGGTTTTGATAACAAACTTAGCAGCAGGCTGGCTGCTGCCCACTATGGCCTAACCCTTGCAAATACATTGCAACATGCTGGCTTTTAGAGAAAAATCCAGTACTAAATTTTGCCCAAAAATGTTTGGTAGTTTCAAAAGCAATCTTGTTAAATAGTATGGAATAATAAATGTATCAAGGCAGTTGTGCAGGGAGGGCTGCTCAGCCCAGGCTGGTTGGAGGAAAGGTAAAAGGGAGGAACAGTTCAGTGTCCCCAGGGAAATCTGGGTTAAATTCTGCTGATTGAAATGAAGTCTGGATGTGCTGAGCTCTGGGATGCTTTGGGATCAGCCCTTGGGATCAGCCCGTGCTTCAGAACAGGACCAGGAGAGGGAAGAAGCTGTGTGTGCCCTGGAGACCATTATGGGATGGCTCATGGGACATGTGCTGGCGTCACCCTGGGGCTGCCCTGGCAGAGCAGCGTTGGCTCCTCTCATCTCCTGCCCCACCTCAGCCACATCAGGAGTTGTTCCTTGGGAGAAAAAGCTCCTTGAGGGCTGAGGAAAATGCTCCTGGAGGGTTGGGGCAGGACAGCAGGAGGAGGTGGAGCTGCCCTGTTCCCCAGCCACGTTCCCAAGGACGTGCAGGTGATGCTGCTTTGTCCCCTCCATGGGGAGCCTGAGGAGAGATTTCCCAACCAGGAAAACCCAAGGAACCCCCAGGCCTTTTGGGAATATCATTCCTTTTACCTTATCTCTTGTGGAGGGGAGGGGGGAGGTTGCTGGATTAGAAAAGAAACCAGATGGCTGTGTCATGTAAAGTCTCTCAGATAAGAGTGCAGGAATTCCATCTGTGTCTGTGCTGTGGGCAGAGCCTGGGTGGGGGCAGGAAGAGCCCTTTCCACCCCAGCTGACTGGGGAGGTTGTTATTGGGGAATGCAGGGAGAGCCCCATCCTTGGAAATCAGCCCAAAGTCAAACACATTTTGTGTTAATGCCCACCTCAGCTGCTCAGCCCAAATCCACGGTGTCCACGAGCTGCTGGAGACTGGGAGGAGGAGGAACACTTCCCACTGCTGGGATACTTGGAATATTCTTTCTGAGCCTTCTTTTTGCTCTTTTTTCCTCACTTGGATGCAAGGAATGCTGCCAAGCAGGCAGAGGTGAGGGGGATGGAGAAGCACTCCTGGTTTATTCCTTGTCTCATCTCCTTTTGCTAAATTCAGTTAATATTTTCATATGTATTTTTTTAAAGTTTTTGCAACCTGATTAGTTTTGAGGTCACATCACTGCAGTCTTGGCTCCAGTGAAATCAACACCAGAATTCCCAGCTTTCCCAGAAGCTCAGGTGTAGCCACTCTCCTTGGGAATATTCCCCAAGTTTGGCTGGCATCAGTTGTGCTTTGCCTTGCCTGTTGTTGTAGCAGTGTTTGCAGAGGTGTGTGTGGTACCAAGCTCTGCCAGAGGAGCTTTTGGGAAAACTCTGTTAGGGCAGCCAAGATGAGCCCAGCCTCTTTGGGATAATTGTTTGTGTGCTTTGCTTTGGGTTCACTTTGTTTTTCTGACTCTCCTGCCAACACAAAGAACCAGGGGAAATAATTCCGAGTAAAATTTCAATTTTCTGTATTTTTCTCTCTCCTTGACAAATTAAAAAAGAGAAATATTTCATTTCACCAAAGCCCTGAAGTGTTTCATTTGGGTCATTAGGAAAAGCAAGGGAAATGAAGGGTTAGACTTCAAAGGAAGTGCCTGGGGGCAGCTCCCATTCATCCAGGGTGGAGGAGACCCTGCTCCAGCTTTTTGCTCTGCTGGAGAGGAGCTGAAAACTCCTGTCCTGCTTCCTGGGAAGGTTTGCTAGGAAAAGGCTGTTCTGGGGTGAGGGTGGGATTAGCTGAAAAATGAGCTGGAGGAGACACAGGGTAGATGTAAAAATAAAAATAAGCAATGCTGTAAAAACTCTATATTTGATTTCAAGCTGCAACTTGGAAATAAAACTGGAAGTCTTGGTTGTTTGTAAGGTTCCTGAACTTTATATAGACATAGTAGGTAAATTTACATAAATGGTCTCTATATTGATTTTGTCACAATGAAAATTCATCTATCTGTGTTTTAAGAGCCCAGGTTTATTAACACACATTTTAAGATGCAACACCTTTCCAAGCACAGCAGATTTGGCTGAGAGCTGTGCAAACCCTGCTTGTTTAGGAATGTCAGTGTTTTCAGTACCACTGAATTGTCCTCTTCTTACTGGCTGCAGCTTTTGTCTCTGCCTCCTCATCAACCATAAAATAGTAAAGAAAAAATTTAAAAATCCGGATATCCAAAAGTAAATCCAGAGCAGAGCTGTTGCATAAAACAAATATTTGTTGAGGATGCTCCATCCAGGGCCTAAAGGGGCTCCAGGAGATCTGGAGAGGGACTTGGGACAAGGGATGGAGGGACAGGACACGGTGAATGGCCTCAGACTACAAGAGGGTTTGGATGAGATACTGGGACTGAATTGTTCCTGTGAGAGTGGGGAGGGGCTGGGCTGGAATTCCCAGAGCAGCTGGGGCTGCCCCTGGATCCCTGGCAGTGCCCAAGGCCAGGCTGGACACTGGGGCCTGGAGCAGCCTGGGACAGTGGGAGGTGTCCCTGCCATGGCACTGGATGGGCTTTATGATCCCTTCCAACCCAAACCAGGCTGGGATTCCAGGATTTTACTGCTTTTGGGGTGAAATCCTCGCCCTGAGGATGGGCACCAGCAGCAGCCTGGCAGCTCCGGGTATCGGTGACCGTGCCAGGTGCTGGTGACTGTGCCAGACAGAAGCTGCCCTGTGTCCTGGTGTGAGTGCAGGCTCTCAGGCCTGTGTGCTCGTGTGCAGGTCCCTGGATGGAAGGCTGCAGGTGTCCCACAGGAAGGGCCTCCCCCACGTCATCTACTGCCGCCTGTGGCGCTGGCCCGACCTGCACAGCCACCACGAGCTGCGCGCCATGGAGATGTGCGAGTTCGCCTTCAACATGAAGAAGGACGAGGTCTGCGTCAACCCCTACCACTACCAGAGAGTGGAGACCCCAGGTACAGCACAGCCCTGCCCTCCTGCCTCTCCTGCAGCAGGGGCCATCTCCCAGGGCATTCCCAGGGGTTCCCTGCTCAGCCTCTCCTGCAGCAGGAGCCATCTCTGAGGGCATTCCCAGGCACAGTGGGTTTATTATTGGTGATAATCCCTTCCTCTATGTAGTAGGATAATTTATGAACCTGCACTCAGGGGGAAAAGATCATTGGGAATTGATGAAATCCAAGTGAGCAGGTTCCCAATGTGTATTGTGTGCACATAACTCACAGCAGGAACCATAGCAGTGTTCTGTGCATCCCCCACTGCTGGGGTTAAATTCAGGATAAACTTGAGCTGGGTCTAAGAACAGCTCCCAGCTTCCTGTTCTGGAGTCTCCTCCTGCCTCTGGAAGAGACTTTGATCTGGAGCTGCAGGAGCTTCTGCTGCATGTCAGCACAGATCTGCAGAGCCAGGCAGGATGTTTATGCTAATCCCACCTGCCTGCTCCATCCTATGGGAAACTCATTCCTTGGGAATCATGGGGTGCACCATCTCTTAAATGGTGCTTCCAGCAGAGCTGGAAGGGGGCAGAGAGACCAGATGTGCTCAGATAAGCTCTATGCCATTCCCAGCTGGGAATAAACAGCATCCTCACCTGCTGCTGCTATTCCAGAGGCAAACATCAAATCCTGTCCCTTAAGGAGCCCCTATGTTTAAAGGTGTCACTCCAGCCTGGTTCCTCCTGTTTCCTGCTGGTTCACTGCCTTTCTCGCTGTTTTCCCTGGCAGTGCTGCCCCCGGTGCTGGTGCCCCGGCACACGGAGATCCCGGCCGAGTTCCCGCCCCTGGATGACTACAGCCACTCCATCCCAGAGAACACTAACTTCCCTGCAGGTATCGAGCCCCAGAGCAACTACATTCCAGGTACCTTGTGTCTTCCATCAGGGAGCAGAGGGAAGGGGCAGAGAGCTCAGGCAATCCTGCCTGGGCATCCCAACCTGGCAATTTTCCTTTCCAGCGTTCCTCCGGAGCTACGGAGTGCAGAAACAGCTGGGAATTGTAAATGGGGCACTCAGCATGTTCATGGCTTTGTTTTGTTGGGTTTAAACTCACCTCTGCATTCAGTGGTACAACCTCAGTTTATTGTGAAACCTAAACTGGATGTTTCCTTACTGGCTTGAGATTTGGATGAAATTCAGCCATTTTGAGTAAAACTCTCCAAGTTTCTGATGGAATTGAGCTTTTCTATTTATGTATCTATTTTACAAGCAATTTACACCTTATTTGCATGGACAAGTTATGCAGCTGCACTCCAGGAGAGGAGAAATATGTGGACAGAAAACTGCCTCCGTGGCTTAAAGTTTCATGGGACTGAAAATCCGGATTTTTTTGTTTTCTCCCTCCTCTGTTATTCACAAATATGGATATCACCCTGGCTGTGCTGGCTCCTCCTTCCAGCAGCTTGAGAAAGAAAAGTAATAAAAAAGAATTTGAGCTCCTTGTGAATGACAAAGTGAATGTTTTTGGTGCCTAAAATCCTGACTTTTCAGTTGCACTGACAGTGTTGTGATGGTTTTGTGCCTCCAGAGACCCCTCCTCCAGGCTATCTGAGTGAGGATGGAGAAACCAGTGACCACCAGATGAACCCCAGCATGGATGCAGGTGAGTCGCCTTTGGGGTTTTAATTTAGTGGCTGTGTCCCAAAGGAAGTTGAATGTCCAGGTTTTCTCTCATTGCCACAAAAAGTAGTAGCCAGGTTTGGAATGAGGGTACCTAATTTATGTTCAAATAATCCATATATTATGTTCAAATAGCCCATATTAATGTTCAGATGTCATGAACTTCCTTGATTATAGAAAACAATTTAAAGAAACCAGCTCAGAACGGTGTGAAAGGAAATGTAAAAATGGGCTGCACCATCTGTCTGCATCCATGGGACATCCAAGTGCAGATACTGAAAATATAGGCCCAGAATTGGTGGCAAATTTACATGATGGAGGATTAAATTCTGACAGCTTTTTGGTCAGATCTGTGTAACCTGATCCAACACTCCATTGTCCCAAACCCAGCAGGATTTAGGATATAAAGTCTTATGGTTTTAATTTTATTTTGTCTGGCAAATGTGCACCCAAGCTCTTTAATGCCCAGCTAACTGAGTTTGTCAGGATGATACCTGAAAGCAAAACAGCCAAGTGCTGCTCAGTTTGGGACATTAATGGGTTAAACTCCAGGGAATTCCCTGTGAAGGGGCAGCAAGTTGATATTTGAGAGCTCCTGTAAGGAGCAGTGAACATGAGAGAAGCTGCAGTGTCAGAAATGAGCCTGCAGTGAGCACTGGGCTGTCCCTCCAACAAGCCTGGGCAGCCCTGCAGATCCTGTGAATGTTTTTCCTGGTGCAGATTCCATAGCAATAATTACCCCTTCTGGATTTTCAGGTTCTCCAAACTTATCACCAAACCCCATGTCTCCAGCACACAACAACCTGGGTAAGCACATGATCCTGGGAGCTGTAACTACAGTCAAGAGGGTGACATTTGGGTGATGCTGTTGAAGTTGGGCACTTCTTGCAGTATTCCAATGGTTTGAATCTGCCAGAGGGCAGCTTTGGGTTGGATGTGGGAATGGTTCCCTGGGAGGGTGGTGAGGGCTGGGATGGAATTCTCAGAGGAGCTGGGGCTGCTCCTGGATCCCTGGCAGTGCCCAAGGCCAGGCTGGAGCACCCTGGGACAGGGGTAGGTGTCCCTGGCCAAGGCAGGGATGGAACTGGATGGGATTTAAGATCCCTTTTAACCCAATCTATCCTGGAATTGTGTGATTCTGTGAGACTGAGCATGGTCTGAGCAGAGAGATGTGGAGGAGATTGGTTGGTGTGGGGGTGGAAAGCCCAGCTAAGCAGGGAATGTGCAGGAATGCCAGGGAATGGAGAGGTCATGGACAGCATTCCAGAGGTGGTGGTGATGGTGGGGGAGATGCACAAAGCACAGATGCTGATGTGGCTCACAGCAGCTGCTTTTCCTCACCCAAACCTAAATCACTCTGCAATCTGGAGTTGTTTTCCCCCCAGCTCCATCCTGGGCACAGGGAGCACATTCCAGCCCCAAGGGCTCTGTCAGGCCATGGCTGGCACTGACTCATCCCACACCTGGGACAGAAACAGGGGAACCCTGAGGAGAACCTCAGACACCACGAGAGCTTTTGTGGCTCTCTACACCTCTGTTACCTCAAAAGTTCCACCCTTTCTTTTCATTCTGATCTCCACCACTCTGAGCTCCTGCCCTGTTTGGAATTGCTGTGCCATAAAAATCCCTCGCAGCTCTGCCTGGCTGCAGGATCAGCTCCCCAACTGTTCATTAAGGCAGCAGACAGAGCCCACTTGAGACTCCTCTGGAATAACCATGGCCATAAAGTTTACATATGCTTTTAATCCTGGCACACAGGACTTTGACACTGCTCCAAAATTTGTCAGTCATTGGCTGACTTTTGGATATCTTGGGGCTGTTGAACAGAGGATTTCTTTCCCCCCTTTTTTTTTTTAATATTGCCATGGTGACCCAAAACTTTTATTTCTTTAACTGCTACAGCCCAAGAAGAAAATGCATGACTGAGACATTTTTATTTCATTTTTCCCAGCGTGCTGCCTGGGAGCTGATGCAATTTTCTTGCAGTTTTTCCTGCAATTTTTCCTTTTTCTTCAATCTAAAAATAAAAGCCAATTCCATGTAACAAACTCAACCTGGCAAGTGGTATCTGCCTTCCATAAGGCAGAGAGGAGTTCCTTGGAAACAGACCCCCTGACAGGAACACTGGTTAGTAACACATCAGATGTCTCAGGTGCTGTCTGGGGACAAAAAAAGGAGCAGGTGAAGCTGGTAAAGCATGAGGAGTCTCTTTGTAGTCTGAGGAGCAGACAGCAGAGAAGCAGTTTAATTTACCAGCATTAAAAAACGCCTTTGAATTCTTGCAAACCATATGTATTGCTCTCAGGCAGGAGCTTCCACAAATGAAGAACTTCTTGTTGCTTTTAATTTTATTGTAAAGTTTTGCCTTTGAGGAAGCTACGAAATAATAAATGAAAGAGCAGCTGAGCCACACTTAAAAGTGTCCAAGGGCAAAATTGCCATCACATGAGTGTTGTAAATGGTTTATCTGCAGCAAGGAGCTGCTCTCAGGGAAGTCAGACCTTCAGCCTGATGGTCACAGCCCAGGAAGGAGCTGCTGGTGAGCTGCTGCAGCACTCCTGTCATTCCAGGATAAGCAAACCCCGCTGTCTAGGGCTGGACTTTGCTCTGCAGGAGTCCAGTGAGGCTTCCTGTGTGTATCTCTGGGGAAAATGGAACAGAAATCCAAACACCCAGCAGTGTGTGCAAGGAGGGGTTTCTCAGCTCTGGAGCAGAGGGGGGGCTTTGCCATGAAGAAAGCAATGTCCCAGGATTGCTTTGTTTATTTGAGCAGAGCTACCTGAAGCTTTTAAGACAGTTCACTTTGTGTAAACTGAACTTTGGACCTAAATCCCATGGCCATATTCCAGGGAGTTCAGAGGCAATAAAGCAGCACAAGGCAAACCAAGTGTGACACCAGGGGCAGGGTTACCTGGAGGCCCAGGGCAGGTTTTCCATGTCAGGCTGAAACGTGGCATGGAAGCAGCTCAGGGAATTTCATCTTTCCATTCCCAGGCACAAAAGCGTTGCAAGGTAACATATTGGGATTTTTTTTAAATCCTCCTTTCAGTTTGTGTTGGAGCTGGAAGTGTTGGAGTTTTGGTTCCAAATTACAGTTGTCAAGTTTTCAGTTGTCAAACAAAAGCTTTAAGTGGAAGTCACAAGATCCAAGGATCTCTTCCCTATTGCTGAAACACGAACCGAGGGAAATACTAAAAACAAAATGAAAGGAGAGTTGCCAGCATTCTGTGGGCCCTGGGAATGAAGTCAGGGAGTTGAGGCTGGCTGAGGAGCAGCCCTGTGGTCACACACACATTGTTGTTCGAGGGGGCCATCCCTGGAGCACAGGAAATCCATTGTCAGGGATTGCTCCACTGAATGCTTGACGCAGGAGCTGTCAGAGCAGCGAGCACATGGCCCCTGGTCACATCCATGTCCCTCTGTCCCTTGTCCCAGGGCACAGCCAGCCTGCCCTGCCTGCAGAGGGAAGGGAGCATCTCCTCCTTCCCAGGGAGGGGCTGGGATTGGTAGAGCTGGAAACGTCTCTGAGCTGTGAGGAACACTGTGATCAGCCACACGCCCTGGAAGCAGGGTAGCAGCTTCCTGTGCTCACAGGGGGAGCAGAGCAGGCAGCAGATGTTCCCCAGGACTTGGATCTGGCAGGGAGGATGCAGGACTGGGACCATCCCAGGGCCCAGAGGACACTTCTGACAGCAAAGCTGTTTCTGAGTCAAGGCTGAAATGGTGCAGAGGTGATTCAGGCAGGAATTGCCTGGGTTTCATGTGTCCTGTTTTATTGATTGTGTACCCCCACAGGGTTCTTTGGCTTCAGCAGAGCTGCATTCTCTTCCTTTTCCCCAAACACTGAAGCCATAAATTGAAAATGAATATTTAGAACAGCTCTGACACAAGAGAGAACTTGCCCATCCCACAGCAGCTTAAGCTGAGGTTTAAAACTACAAATCATAGGAGAAAGCAGCATCATTAAAAACTTGGTTGCAGTTTTTAGAGACAAGCTTTTCCTCAAACCAGGATTTGTTGGTTTATGTCTTTCCTCAGGCTGCAGATAAGCCAGAAATAAAATTTCTGTACATCCTTCAGTGAGGAATCCACAGTTCCCTTGAGCCCCAGCGAGGTGGAGGTGGTTTCTGAAGGAAAGGACCACAAAACCATGGAGAGGTTTCAGTGTTTTTATAACTTGAATAGCACCAACCTGAGGGTATTACTTAAGGATCAACACAAGTTGATTTTTCTGGAGCTGAGCAGCCTTTTGATTAGAAAAGCACTTGGATGTGGAGTAAGAGCCCAGTCATGTGGAACTGATCTGTTTTCTTTGGTGGGTGCACTCACCTTGGGAGGCTCTGGGCAGAGCTGGTGTTTGCTGGGCCTCTCTCCAGACTCTGCTGGGGCCACAGAGCCCACAGCAGTCCTGAGGTGGCCACAGCTGCTGCTGGAAAAACTTGCCTGGTGTGGCATTTTCCAGTGGGAACACAAATGGGACGTGCAGGAGAAACAGGCAGGGACAGTAAACTTGTGTCATTCGTGGATGTGTGAAATAATCTGTTTCTATCAAGAGAGGGGCTTGCTTTGAGCTGTAAAATTCAAATGTGAGGAAGTGTCAGGTAAAAGAAGCTGGGAATGGGTACAAGCTCCAAATTTCATGGATTTTGAAGCCTGCTAAGGATTACAGAGTTCCCCCGATGTACTTCTATTCAATTCCTTGTTTGCTGTCAGCAAAGCTTGTAACAAAGCAGAAACCAAAGTGATTTTCCTGATGAATGGCTGCTTTGGGAACACTTCCAGGAGTGGAGGGGAAGCCAATGTGCCTTTTGGCTGCTCCAGCCTGTGCCTGAAGGTTATGGAGGAACAGGTACAGGTGAGAAAAGACTCCCAAACCTCTGCAGAGACCCTGGTCAGTGTGAGAGGAGGCTGGGGTGGTCAAAACCTGTGTTGGTTTTTTTTTTTTGGAGTTCTCTCTTAAGCCCCACATTCTCCTAAGCCCTGCAGGAGCAGCAGATTGGAAAGCCTGTGGAAAAACCTGGGTTTTGCTGCTTGATGTTAACTCCTTGGCCAGATGGGAGCTCTTCTGTTGTGTCTTTAAGCACAGTTTGAATGGGGATGAAGTGATAAACTGGGGGGAGGGCTGGAGGGAATCCTTCTCCTGCACTGGGTGTGGAGAACAGCACTCAGCAATTGGCTGGGTCTGCCTTGCAGTCCCTGCTCAGCTTGGCTCTCAGCAGGGCTGGGCACCTCCCTGGGCTGCATTTCCAGGAAATTTTCCTTGAGCCTTGCTCTGCTGGAGTCTCCTGGGCTTCAGGGGGAGCAGTGAAATCACTCAGTGCTGTCTGAGTGCCCACCTGCCTTCCTGAGGTGCCTCAGCTCCCTCTGCTCCTCAGCTTCAGCCCTTGGCTTCAGTCCATGAGGCAAAGCAGGACCCCAGGGGAAGAGCTGAGCCTTCACCTGCTGGGAAAATGGATTTTCCTGGGATGGTTTGAGATCCAGTGCACTGGGAGAAGGTTTTTAAATCGCTTTGATGCCACTGTTAAAGGCAGTTTGGGGCATATTTCAGACTCTACTGGTTTCACCAGTGCCAGAGAGGTCACAGCAGGGTCAGTGAGAAGGAAAGTTGGATTTATTGATTGCAAGTGCACAGATTTAGAGTGCAGCACACACCTGTGCTATGGACAGCAGCTTTGTGCTTTATGCTTGCCAAGATTTTCTGCTCCTTCCTTTTCTTTGTCTCCTTAAGGAACTGGCTACCTAAAAGGGATCCCACATTTCATAGTAAAGCTGATTAATTTCCCTCAGTGCGAGGCTGCTCAGTGACAGCCCGCTTGCTAAGTGAGTAATGCCTTTGACTGTCTGCGATTGCTCCATGTGCCAGAAGCTCCAGGGCTGATGTCACCTCCTTGCTGTGGTCCATTAAAATGAAACCTTGGTTGAAGTGAGCCTGAGGAATGAAGCAGAACAATGTTCCATCCAGCTGGGTTGTTTTTTTTCCATCCCCCTTTCCCTTGCTGTGGCTGATTTGGCTGTTGCTTGGTGCAGACCTGCAGCCCGTGACCTACTGCGAGCCGGCCTTCTGGTGCTCCATATCCTACTATGAGCTCAACCAGAGGGTGGGGGAGACCTTCCACGCCTCGCAGCCCTCCATGACCGTGGACGGCTTCACCGACCCCTCCAACTCGGAGCGCTTCTGCCTGGGGCTGCTGTCCAACGTCAACCGCAACGCGGCCGTGGAGCTCACCCGGCGCCACATCGGTAACTCGCTGCCCTGGGCAGGGGGACAGCCCAAACCCTGCTGAAATACCCCTGCTGAAATACCCCTGCTCAAATACCCCTGCTCAAAACCCTCCTCAAATACCCCTGCTGAAATACCCCTGCTGAAATACCCCTGCTCAAATACCCCTGCTCAAAACCCTCCTCAAATACCCCTGCTGAAATACCCCTGCTGAAATACCCCTGCTCAAATACCCCTGCTGAAATACCCCTGCTCAGAAACCCCTGCTCAAATACCCCTGCTCAAATACCCCTGCTGAAATACCCCTGCTGAAATACCCCTGCTCAAATACCCCTCCTCAAATACCCCTGCTCAAATACCCCTGCTCAAATACCCCTGCTGAAATACCCCTCCTCAAATACCCCTGCTGAAACACCCCTGCTCAGAAACCCCTGCTGAAATACCCCTGCTGAAATACCCCTGCTCAAATACCCCTGCTCAAATACCCCTGCTCAGAAACCCCTGCTCAAATACCCCTGCTCAAATACCCCTGCTCAAATACCCCTGCTCAAATGCCCCTGCTCAGAAACCCCTGCTCAAATACCCCTGCTCAGAAACCCCTGCTCAGAAACCCCTGCTCAGATACTCCTGCTCAAATACCCCTGCTCAAAACCCCTGCTCAGAAACCCCTGCTCAAATACCCCTGCTCAGAAACCCCTGCTCAGAAACCCCTGCTCAAATACCCCTGCTCAAATACCCCTGCTCAAAACCCTCCTCAAATACCCCTGCTGAAATACCCCTGCTGAAATACCCCTGCTGAAATACCCCTGCTGAAATACCCCTGCTCAAATACCCCTGCTCAAATACCCCCCCTCAAAACCTCTCCTCAAATACCCCTCCTCAAAAACCCTCCACAAAAACCCCTTCACAGAAACCCCTCCTCAAACACCCCTCTACAAAACCCTCTGTTAGCAGGTTTAGAGCCCTGGGTGGGAATATCAGGCTGATCCCCCATACAATGCTAATTGTGTTTTTACACATAATCGTAATATAAAAATGCACCAAGGAATGCTAAAATTGCTGCATGTCATAGAATTAAAACCATTTCATGCACTGTGTATCTGGAGGGATGTCAGGGATCATTTTCTGTGTTCTTTTCCCCTCCTGCACTGTTTTATTTTCTGAGTGACCTTTTATAAATGGAAACTGAGCTCCTTGATTGTCATCTCAATTTCCACTTTTCCTCCAAGGTCCCAGCCAATTTGTTCTCAGTGAAACTTGTGCTAAGTGGAACATCCCAAATTTCTGCAATTTTGCTAAAAGTCAATTGCTTGTTCTTTACTGTTTTCTGCTGACTCCTATCAAAAATGAACCCAATTTTTGTCCTAATTTTGCTCCCCTTTCCTGAGCAATTGGAGAACCCTCCCTCTTGCACAGGAGGATCTTTCCTCACTTGTTTTGAAGATTATTATATTCCAATGCCCAGAACCCACCAAGATTGAGAAATCAGATTTTAAATGCAGCAGACTCCTTCTGCTCAGTTGAAGGATGAAAGCAGCACATTCAAACAGGAATGTGAGACCACATCAAATGTTTATTTGAGCAACAAAATGTATTCTTCAACTTTGTTCCTCTATTAACTGAGATTTTAATGATTTGTGTAAACACCTATGGGCAATGTATGTGTCCTTGTACACAAAGTCATCTCTAGCAAAAGGCAAGGATTTGCAAGTGCCTTGGAATTCCATTCTAAATCATTGAGTAAATCTCCAAACAGTTGTGTCCAGCTGGGATGACTTTCAGAAGAAATTATGATTTTCATGTGTTAACTGATAGAAAAGATGGCTTTCATGTGTAACTGATAGAACATTCATATGGAAACTATCAGTGTGCATGTGTTTGGAGGGACCTGGCTGGGGCTGGAGGTACAATTCCAACTGGAGCTGGTGCTCCTGCCTCCCTCAGCTCGCCTGCCATGGAGCAGTTCATTGGAATGTCCAGTGGGACAGAGTTTCCATCATTGCCATCTGAGCTGCTGGTTTAGAGCTGCATCAGGGAGCTGTCCCAGCCCCTGGGGCAGGTTTTCCTCCCTAAGGGAGCTGTCCCAGCCCCTGGTCAGCTTTTCCCAGAGTTTTTTCCCTTTAGGAAGTTATCCCATCCCCGGGGTCAGTATTTCCCCCCCTGAGGGAGCAGTCCCAACCTCTGGGGCAGTTTTCCCCGGTGTTTCTCCCCCTGAGGGAGCTGTCCCATCCCCAGGGTCAGTTTTTCTCAGTGTTTTCCCCTTGAGGGAGCCATCCCAGCCCCTGGCACATTTTTCCACCCTCAGGGAGCCGTCCCATCCCCAGGGTCAGTTTTTCCTCCCCTGAGGGAGCAGTCCCAACCTCTGGGGCAGTTTTCCCCGGTGTTTTGCCCCTGAGGGAGCCATCCCATTCCCGGGGTCAGTTTCCCCTCCCGAGGGAGCCATCCTATCCCCGGGGTCAGTTTTTCCCGGTGTTTTTCCCGGTGTTTTCCCCGTGTTTCCCCGCTGACCCTCGCTGTGTGGCAGGCCGCGGCGTGAGGCTGTACTACATCGGCGGGGAGGTGTTCGCCGAGTGCCTCAGCGACAGCGCCATCTTCGTGCAGTCCCCGAACTGCAACCAGCGCTACGGCTGGCACCCGGCCACGGTGTGCAAGATCCCGCCAGGTAAGGCACGGACAGCCCCGGCCGGCACTGCCCTGCTCCGCGGCACCCCGGGCTGCTGTAAAATCACACCGTGGGTGCGGTGGGTCACACTGGGTCGCGTTGGGTTGGGTTGGAACATCCCCTCCCACACCTGCCGCTGCCCCGTGCTGCTCCGAGCCCCGTCCAACCTGGCCTGAAGCACTTCCAGGGAAGGGGAGCCCACAAATTCTCTGGAAAATCTATTTTACTCTTTGAGTAGCCACTCAACAATTCCAGCAGGGCATTTTTATAGCTTTAGGGATGGAGGTACTGCTGAAGGAAGCTGCTGTGGAGTCTCCAGTAGTTGCACTACGTTCACCCGACAGAACAGAATCTAAGCACAACTTAGAGCAGAATCTGCCACTTGTTCCTTCAGTGTTTTATCAGCCCATTTTTGTATTGTAATTATCTCACACACACGTTGATAATTTTGTTTGTGCCTCTAAGTAATGGTAAGAAATTTCTCTTCATTTAGATTCACCCGTAATAGATTTAAATTGTTCCTTTTTTCTGGTCTCTAGTAAAATCCCTTCCTCTGTGTGAATTGGTTTGTTCTAAAGAAATCACATTTGCAGACACGTTGTTGTTCTGGTTACAGTCTGAAGTTTTTGCTGAAAGGTTACAAGATAATTTATTTCATCTACTTGGGAAGAAAAGGCTTTTTTGTTAGATAAATGCAAAAAGCTGGTAAGAGAGGAGAGGCTGTTTGAAATGGAATTTGGTTATTTAGCTAAGCTTATACAAGCTGACTTTTTTACAGTTAAAAGCCTGTATATATTTAAAAACCGAACTTCTTTGTTTAGAAATATTTGAATTCTTTTCTTTTGAGAGGAGATCCATACGCTCCAAGCTCTGGCCCATCCTAATGGGTTTCCTTTCTCAGATGCAGCTGCCAGTGCTGCAAATTATGACTTAATTCCCCACCACATCACAGGAGTCCACCCTGGCTGGAGTCAACATCTGCAGACATGAAAAGCCCACATTTCCGCTCAGACCCAGCTCAGGCGCAGCTTTTGGATCCAGCTCTCCCCACTTTTGCCACAGTCTTTGGCTGCCTGTTCTTCCAATCTTTGCTGGGTTTGAAGCAGTTCCTTCCCTGCCTCGTTGACAGGATGGAGTCATTGCCTCTCTCCCCCATGGAGACACCTGATCCCAAGTGTTCCCAAGGGCTGGGATCCAGCACTGGGATCCCCCTGGAGTTTATTCCTCCTTCCCTGAGCTCAGCCTGGCCCTGACACTTCCACCCTTCAACATTCCCTTCAGGCTCCCTGAGACTGCAGCCCTGGGCTCTTCCCTGCTTCCAGAAGTGGGCAGTGCTTCCTGCAGCTGCTGTGGTCACCCTTTGCTCCACACCAGATGAGTCCAGCCCAGGAGAGGAGGCTCACAAAGTGATTCTTAGCAAAACACAATTCATCCCACTCCAAATGTTGTTTTTCAGCCTTGGCCCATGTTGTAATCCCAAATGAGCCTTAGCTGAGTGCCTGGTTTCAGAGTTTAACTTGTTTATGGTTATCTGGGAGAAAGCAAACGTAGAAACACTTTTTAAAGAGTGGGGCATTTATTTATTTATCTAAACTATGAAGGATGTTATGATATTTCACCTTTTTCCCCTAAGAGCAGTTGAATAAGTTGTTCTCAGTTGTTTAGCTGGGGATAAACATCAGGGGAAAAACTTGTGTTTTGAAGGGAACGTGTTTGGCACCTGGTAGTGAAACTGGGGAGAGGATTTTAGCAGGAGCAGCCCTGGCACTCTTTAACCCTCAGAGCTGCTTCCTGGTGTGTCAGAGTGGTTTCAGTGCAGAGCTTCCCTGTTCTGTGACAGACCCGTGTCAGTCCAGCACAGGGAGCTGCTCCTGTGTTCAGCCTGTGCGTTCCTCCCCTCCAGGCCCTGCAGGGATCTCTGCTGCTGAGCGCTCAGTCAGTCAGGCTTTAAATTACAATAGGAAGGAAATGGTGTCCAGGAGAGAGAAGGAGGTTCCACAGGAGGTTTCCAAGCCTGGTCTCTCCAGTCACAGTCTGCTGGGGGGCTCCAGCATTCAGAATCTCCCCTTTTCCTTCTCCCTGTGAAGATGTGGCACCTCCATTCCTGTCCCTGGGCTCTGAGGACATGGGAAAGCAGCCTGGAATTCTCTGAAAAGCCAGAATTGTCAATGCCATCGAGCCAATGCCGTGTCCCTGCTGTGTCCTTTCCCCCAGGCTGTAACCTGAAGATTTTTAACAACCAGGAGTTCGCGGCGCTGCTGGCGCAGTCGGTGAACCAGGGCTTCGAGGCCGTGTACCAGCTGACGCGCATGTGCACCATCCGCATGAGCTTCGTCAAGGGCTGGGGCGCCGAGTACAGGTGGGGCCTCCTGGGCTGCTGCTCCTCTGCTCCCGCCTGGGAGAGCCCTGCAGAGCTGCCAGTGCTGTCTGCAGGGGGCTCAGCCCGCTCAGGAACGGGGATGGGTCATGGCTCTTGGGATCGGCTCGGGGATCACCCCAGGCTCTGCTCCTGCCAGCCCCAGCTCCTGGCTGGGAGAGCCCTGCAGAGCTATCACTCCCCTTTGGAAAGGGGGGCTCAGCCCGCTCAGGAACAGGGAGGGGTCATGGCTCTTGGGATTGGCTCGGGGATCACCCCAGGCTCTGCTCCTGGTACAAGCAGGGGAAATGCAGTTCAGTGGAAAATGGGTGTTGTTTTCTGAGAGGGAAAGCTGGTGAGGGTTTAAGCCCAGGGTAATGTGTAAATATTGAACTCTGCACCCTTTAGAGCTGTGGCCTCACTCGAAGCTCTGTGGGGTCGCTGCCATTCCGGGGCTGCTCTGCTGCAGGAGGGGGAGAGGCCTCAGGACCAGCTGGGGCCCAGGCCCTGCACGTTGCTCTGCCACTTTCTTCATTTCTCCAGATGTTTGGAGTCCATTTTGTTTTGAAATCGTCCTGAGCTGGGGCCAGAGCAGCTCAGGGCTGGCTCCCAGCCAGGCCCTAATGAGCTGCAGAGGAGCGTGACTTAGGGAAAGCCAGGGATCCCCGCGGGGCCAGGGCTGCCTCTCCGTGCCACAGAGCTCTCCATCTGATGCAGAGATGGAGATGTTCCTGTGGAGCATCCAGAGGGCCATTCCCTGATCCCTGGTTCACCTTTGAACAGTCTGCATGGGGGTGTTCAGTGCTCCTCTGTGCCAAGGATTTGGTGCAGAAGGGGGAGAAGCCAATTCCATGAGCAGTCTGTGATGGACAGGGACAGGGATGGTGGTGGGAGCTCAGGGCAGCCCCCCAAGCAGAGTCAGTCCCCTTTTCACCTCTGGTCCCACAGATTTCAGGTTCTCCCTCCCATCACCAGATTCCAAGGGAAGTGGGGGTGTAAAGCGAGGCTGTTTCCAGGCTGTTTCTCCTGCTTTATAATCTCCCTCCTCCACAGCAGCTGTCCCTGCCTGGAACAAGACCTCAGCCTTGCCTCAGCAGAGGAGGGAGAGCCCCTGGCTCCATGTCTTGGTCTCCCTTTCCTTTTATTTCCCCCCCATCTCTGTGCTTTGCCTTCTGGAGATGCTTAGGGAGAGCGACAGGAGGGGAAGAGGGATTTGTGCAGGGGAAGGTCAGAGCAGCTGAGCTCTGGCCCAGCAGGGCCCCTGGATGCAGGAAGGGTCTGCAGGGCTTGGGGTCATCTCTTCCCAGCACTTCCACATTCTACTAAAACCCAAGGGTACAGTAAAAAGTGAATATCCTTGTCTTGTGCATGGGGAAACTGAACATGTTTGGTGAACATGGGCCTTGCTGTCTAACTAGGAAAGGTCTGCAAAGGAAAATGGGTTTTGCTTAGATCAACACCTTCTGTCCCTCCATGGGATGAGCTGCCTGTTCCCAGGAATCGGAGCAGTAAATAGCAAGCTGCTCCTGTGGGATCATCATAACAAATACAGAGGGACAAGGTGGGTTTTTAAAAGGAGCCAGCAGTGCAGGGCAGAGGCTGTTGCAGAGGAGAGCCATTCCTTTGGCCAGGGTGGTTGTGGAAGCAGCTCAGGAGCGGGGAAGCCTGTTCTGTTGAGTTCTGTCAGTCACATTGGTGGTGTGTGCTCTTCCCTGGCAGGAGGCAGACGGTGACCAGCACTCCCTGCTGGATCGAGCTGCACCTCAACGGGCCCCTGCAGTGGCTGGACAAGGTCCTGACCCAGATGGGCTCCCCCAGCATCCGCTGCTCCAGCGTCTCCTAAGGAAACCCTCCTGGGGCCCCTGGGGAACAAGGACTCTGCAGCACCCTTAGCAAAGGCATAGTAAACAACTCCCCAGTTATTCAAGCGATGAGAAAAAAATCTGCTTCAAAAACGAAAAAAAGAAGTGGGTTTTCTTTGTTTTGTTGTTGTTTTTAAATACCCATTTAAGCCACTTCCACTGAAACTGTCGGCACTTTGGTCGGGCTGCAGCTGGAGTTTGGAGCTGGAATTGGTGAGGATGAAGAGCTGGATGTTGTTCCAGTGGAGAGCAGGCAGTGCTCACCTGCCCCCAGGCTGTGTGTGGCACAGGAGCCATCCCAGCTGCCAGGGAACTTCCCCTTCCCTCACACACTCCAGGCTCTGCAGCACCCCAGGAACACCAGAGCCTGGGGGGCTCCAGGATGGGAACACCAGAGCCTGTGGGGCTCCAGGATGGGAACACCAGAGCCTGTGGGGCTCCAGGATGGGAACACCAGAGCCTGGGGGGCTCCAGGATGGGAACACCAGAGCCTGGGGGGCTCCAGGATGGGAACACCAGAGCCTGTGGGGCTCCAGGATGGGAACACCAGAGCCTGTGGGGCTCCAGGATGGGAACACCAGAGCCTGTGGGGCTCCAGGATGGGAACACCAGAGCCTGTGGGGCTCCAGGATGGGAACACCAGAGCCTGTGGGGCTCCAGGATGGGAACACCAGAGCCTGTGGGGCTCTGGGATGGCTCCTGCCCGTGCATTCCTGCACCACCCACCTGATCCACACCGGTACTGCAGCACCAGGGGGAAGGAGGCATTTCAAACACCCAGAAGAAGGAATTCCCCAGGAATGTTCCGAAAAGGAAGGAATTTCCCACACTGGACCTGCAGCAAGGAGGCAGAGCCTTGCCTGGTGCCCGAGGGATGATGCCCTCATGGATCAGCCTGGGTTCACATGGGGCAAAAGCCCACTTGGAGGCTCTTTGTGGTGTTGCTGCAGCATTTTTGACTGGAGCTGCTCCCAGAGGGGGAATTGTCCCGTGGGGAGCCCTGCCTGGAGCAGCTCAGGCTCATTCTCTGCAGTCTCTGCATTAACCACAGCAGCCCTGGGCTGTGCTTTCCCAGTCTCTGCCTCTCCAAAGCCCGAGGGCTCCGTGTCCAGGTGGAGCAGGGGGGAATGTCCAGGCCTGGCTGTGGAGCGCCCCTGGAGGGGGATCCTGCGCTGTCACATGCAGCAGCCAGGACATTCAGACACAGCCAGCCCTCTGTGTGAAACTGTTCCAGCTGATGAAAATGCTCTAAGATGTGTTTTTGCCTGGAGAAATTGGGAGAGTGTGTATTTACTTGTATTATAAAATGTTCATTTTAAACATACATGCTCCAGACTGTTTAATATTTTTTATCCCTGCAGCAACTGTCGTGGCAAACAATTTCCACAACTGGAAAAAACCCCTTAGCACTTGTTTTTATGGTTCACATTTGCCAAATAAGTCTCATAACTTTGTCAGTGCTGTCCAATTATCTGTTTCTTTATATCTGCAGTGAATATCTTATGCATTTGTGCCAAAATATTAGAGGGGGAGGGGAGAAAGTGATAATCAGTTTCCTATGGAAATCTTTTTTTCCTTGTTTTTTATCTCTGAAAGACAAACAAGCTGGATGTGGCTGTGGGAAGGACTGACTGGGATGGACTTGAGGATGGTTTTGCTTTAGTCCTGCAAACTTCTGTGGGAGTGCCCTGATCCACTGGGGGAACTGACTGGATCAAACACCCACCAGGAATGTCCATGCTCCTCCTCTGCCAAGGCTCATTCCCAGAGACCTCTGCCAGCCTCTCCTGCTTTGGCACAGCTGGTCACCACTCCTGGAGCTGAGGGGACCCAGTGCCACCACAACAGATCCCAGAGGCCGCTGCTGCTGCTGCTGGATGCAGATGAAGGGATGGTTGGGGGAGCTCCCTTCCAGAAACCAGGAATTGCCTTGTTCAACATCTGGAGTGTGAGGGGGACTCTCATGGTGGATGTGCTCCTGGTCACACAGGACTTTGGGAAATCCTCTGAGTCTGGACTGCAGCTGTTCTGTGCAGCACAGCACAAGCAGCACTGGAGGCTTTTAGATGTTTGATTTGTTAAATTTTGCAATGTGTCTGATCCGAGTTACAGATCTGCCTGCACAGACTGGGGCAAGAAGAGATCTGTATAAAATAGGATTTTTTTGGGCCTTTTACAAAGCAGGTCTGATGTCAGCATGGATTGGTCCAGCATTGGTTCAGATACAGGTTTCTAACATAGCTGTAAAGAAAAGTTTATCTTGAATTTTGTAGAAATATTTGACTTTTGGCTGTTTAAATGAGAGGGGGGAAAATGTGCTCTGTAAAATGGCTCTGGGTTTCTTCCATGAGTGTTTTACTTGCTTATTTTGGTTACAAATGTTGTTGCTGTTGTCCTCATAATCACAGAGGAAATTGGACTTGGGTGCCTCCTGCATTAACCACAGAAATGCCCTCTGAAATCCCAGAGGGATTACAGGTGATGGTGTGAGCAGGAGCCCAGCCTGATCCAGAGGCCACGAGTGGGAATAAATCCCAACTTTAATATGGAATTTGCACACGGAGTCACCTCCTCAGCCACCCTGGATTTCCGCTGGGAGCCAGAGCTACAGCCCCTTGCTAAAGGATAATTAATTGCTGACCAATATTAATTGAGGCCTTTTGAAACCCAGGATTCAGATGATGCATAAAAACTTTGGTTAATCTCCCCTCATCATCTCTTAAGTGAAATGCCTTCCAGTGGAAAATGTGAGCTGGCCCAGCAGAGCAGTGAGATAAAGGGGAGATTATCTCCACTCCAGCATTAATTTCCTCTCTCCCCTTTGTTTGCTGCTCCCTGATTCATGAGAGCTCTGTGGGTTCTGGAGTCACCTTGGGGAGCCCAGCAGAGCCCTGGACAGGGCAGGGATGGGGCTGGGCTGGGCATGTTGTGCCCACGCTGCCCTGGACGCTCACAGTTGCAGGATGAGGTGAATTCCTGCTCCTGTGGCCACCAAGGCCAGGGAGCAGGGATTGGGCTGGGATTGCTGGGGGCAGCAGGGCCCTGAGGGCACAGGAGGCTTTGTTTGATTTCTCCTAGAACTCAATTAAAGCAGCTTTGGTGTGCAGCTCAAAGGGATGGATGGGAGCAGCCTGCCCTGGCTCAGCTTGCAGCTCCAGGCTGGAACATCCTCTCATTTCATGGCAGGCTGGGCTCGTTTCTCCAGGGTTTCACCCGGTTTTGTTCCTGCAGAGTCAGTAGCAGGACCTTGGACTCTTCCCTTGGTGAGGCTGCCCAGCAGGGCCTGGCTGCAGGCAGAGGACAGACACCCTGTGCTTTCCCAGGCTGTGTGATCTGTTTATTGTAATGTATTGAATTGCAGGTTGTATTTTGTGTTAAGCTTGTCTTAGGAGTAATCCAGTGCTGTCCATTTGACTTAATCTCCAGCAATCAGTGTGCCTATGCACAAAGAAGGAGAAATCCCATGGTAAGGCACTTCCCTGGAGCTCTGGCTGCCCCTGTGTGCCAGGAAAAGGCTGAGGGAGCCCTGGGTTCCTCACAGTTTCCTCCCCCTTGCATCAGCGTGGTTGAACCCTGCAGGATCCTCTGTGGGGTGAAGGATGGTCAGGACTCATCCCAAGCAGCAGTGGTGGCTCCTGTGCCTTCAGCTGATTCCTGACTGGAAAAGCAGGAAAGCCCAGCCCGGGAAGGGCTTCAGCCACATGCACAGCACCCAGAGCTCTCCTGGGTCTCTGAGGGGCAGGAGGATGGAATTTCATGGCTGTGCTAAGCTGGGATGAGAAGCAGGCCCTCTGTAGGGCTGGCCTGAGTGGTGTGCTTGAGAAGTTCAATGTTTTTTACTATGTACCTGCTTTTGTATTTATGTGTCTGTCTCAAATATTCAGATGAATCCAATATTTAATTTTTAGCAGAAGGGGCAATTAAGTACTCAGAGTATTAAACCTTCCATCTGCTCTTTGCTGATGATTGCTGGAAATGAGGAGTTTGTGATGTGAGAACAGAGCTGAGCACAAAGTCCCCAAGCCCTCAGGAGCCACGGTGCTGCTGCTGCACCAAGTTGGGGTCTCAGAAGGGCCCCTGGGGCTTGATGGGGCTTTAAAAACCAAAAGCTGTTCCTCCAGAGCTGCCTGGGTCATCCTCTGCCCCTCCAGACCTGGCAGTTCCTCTGTGCTCCCCCAGCCCAGCTGGGTTCCTCCGTGCTGGCTGTGCTGGGACACCCAGCCCTGCCCTGGAGGGATCCACAGGGGCTGTGAGTCCTCCCTGGCTGTCTGTCCATCCTGCCCTCCCTGCAGCATTTCTGCCTTTGTTACTCCAGGCCTGTCCCATGTACGCCCTCCCTTTCCATGTGGAACTGTAAGGTTTCTGTTCTTGACATTTTAATAAACTTTGATTTGAAAACCGAGGCTCGTGAGCACATCAGGCTGTTGGAGGAATGTATTTAAGGACACAAACTGACAGTTTGAGAGTGTTGCCATGACAGTGATTGGGACACAGCAGCATCCTTAGGTTGGTGCAATCCCAGTAAAGCACACAAGAGCTCAGTGACAGGTAAGACCCTCCTTCTTTTTACAGCTGGGACAGTTTTGTTCAAGAATTTAAAGTCAAATCTATAAAAAATAATTTTAAAGTTGCATTTAGTTCTTTTAACTAATGGGACTCAGGGGTGAGCATAAGTGGAGCTCTGTGCTCCAAGGATTTACTGTCCAGTTGCTGGAGAAGTCAGGCACAGTTGAGCATTCACAGGTTCAAGGTGCCACTGGAATTCCATGCAGGGAGCTGGGGAGCTGTGACCAGTTCAGGAGAGCAGGAGCTGCAGAGGAGCATTCACTGCTCACCCCGCAGTGCCCAGTCAGGAGCAGACCCCGAGTTCCTGCCGTGTCTCCACGGAGGAGCTGCAGACTCGAGTCCAGTCAATAAATCCTGGGGAAAACCCTTGAGGAGCAGAGATTCCACCCTCCCTCCCGGGTGAGCCGTCCATGGCCGCCCCGTGCTCCTGGTGGGGAAGTTTTCCTGATTAACCTCCAGGCTGCCCGTCCCAGGGGCAGAATTCCAAAGCCCATGGCCGAGGGGCAGGTGCCACCCCGGGGACAGTGACAGATCCCTGGCATTCCGTGGCTCAGGGCAGGCGCTGTGCAGAGCCCCGAGAAGGCTCCAAGGCACACCAGGATCGGATCCATCCGTGCTGTGAACTCCTCATGGCCCCCGAGGGTTTCACTGGAATTCTC